TGGTTAGGACCAACCTCCTCATTATCCCCATCGTGAAGGACATGCGGATATGCAACAATTGGTACCTTGTTCTCTATTACTTCTGGTTCTGTTTCTCTATGAGGTTCTGTAGGCATCACTTGCTCACTTACCTCTTAGCTATCATTGGTTCCGTAGGAGGTTCCAAGTCATCACTATTTGATTCTATGCAAAAAATTCAGAATGGGGTTGTTTAAACCATGTTCTAACACCTTTTCCAATATAATCTCACTAGTAGACATTGTTCTTTTATATACTTGCCTCTAAGAATGTTGCATTTGTACTAACAAATACATTCTTATCTAGAGGACTATACAAGTAGTAACCTCTTGTTCTTTTTGGATATCTCACTAAGAGACAAACCTCTGATCTTGATTTCATCTTATCCATGTTTCCCTTTAGCACATGTGTTGGACACCCCCATATCCGAATGGAATGTAAATTAGGCTTGCACCCATTCTATAATTCAAGAGACGTCTTGGAAACTGACTTAGATGGTACTAACTTCAAGATGTAAATAGTTGTTTGTAGTGCATATCCCCGAAGGAAACAGGTAATGAGGAATAACTCATCATTGGTCTTACCATATCTAAAAAAGTTGAATTTATTTTTTCTGAGACATCATTCTGTTGGGGAGTCATTGATGCACTCAATTGGAACAATATCACATTATTCGATAAGTAGACCATAGATTCTTGGGATAGATATTCGTCACCTCGATCGGATCGAAGGGCCTTGATACTCTTACCCAATTGCTCCTCAACCTTCGTCTGAAACTCCATGAATTTCTCTAAAGCTTTGAATTTGTGAGACATAAGGTATATGTATTCAAATCTAGAGTAATCATCTGTGAAGGCAATGAAGTACTCATATCTTCCCCTAGCCCAAGTACTAACGGGTCCACAAACATCAAAGTGTACCAATTCTAAAACTTCTTTAACTCTTAGTCCCTTAACCTTAAATGGCCTCTTGGTCATCTTTCCTTCCATACAAGATTCACAAGTTGGTACGGATTCCACCTCTAACTTATTTAAAGGTCCGTCATTTACTAATCTTTGAATCCTATTTAGATTAATATGACACAACCTAAGATGCCATAAAAGAGTTTCATTAGTACTAGATGACATCTTTCTTTCTCAAGCAGTAATAGTGTTATGTATAGAGTCAATCATAGGACTTAAGACATAGAGACCTTTAACTATTTGACACGGAACATATAATAGAATTATTCAACTTAATAACCACCGTATAACGTGTAAAAAGTACTGAATAACCAACACGATATAAAAGTACAAATGAAACCAAGTTTTGTGTAAGTTCAGGAACATAATAACAGTTATCCAAAATCAAATGTCTACGATTTTCAAAATATAAAGTAAAGTTGTCAACAGCTTTGGCAGACACTACTTCTCATGTTCCATTCTAAGAGTGTACTCATCTTCACCAAGGTTCTTGGTTTCCTGAACACCTACAAAGAATTGCAAACATGATTAGTGACTCCAGAATCTACAATCCAGGTATTAGTAGAATCAACCACTAAGCATGATTCAATGAATATGGTATTTGCCTTTACCTTGTTTCCCTTTAACTAGGTGATTTGGGTAATTCATCTTCCAATGACCCTTTTGTCCACAAGAAAAACACTTTCTATTTGGTTTTCCATCAGCTGTAGTTTTCTTTCCTTTTGACTTGCTATCTTTCTTTTTGTTTGGCATTTTCCTCTTGTTCCTTCTTTGCAATAAGAAGGCTTCAGATGAGAGGGTCCGACTGCCACAGTCAAAGCATTTCCACTTCTGGCCTTTAGAATAGCTGCAGTGTTTTGGAGCTCTTTCTTTAATTCCGTCAGAGACATGTCCATCTTGTGTAGATTATAATCAACTATAAACTGTGAGAAAATCTTAGGAAGATCTCAAGAACCATGTCAATCTGCGTCTGGAATCAATGCCGACTCCTAAAACCTCTTCAACATTGAAGTGACCAATCATGATTAACATATGGTCAATCACAGATGTGCTTTGTTTCATACGTGTGTTCATAATTTCCCTAATGGAAGCTTGTCTAGCTTGTTGACTTTAATGTCCAAATATTTCTTGAAAACTTTCCATTATGTCAAAAACAGTTTCCATGTTCTGATGTTTTTGTTGCAATACATTTGACATGTATGCCAAAATATAGCAATGGGCCATCTCATTAGAATGTCGCTACTTTTCATATGTAGTCTTTTAAGATTTCGTGGAATCATCTTTAAGGGATTCGAGACAAACTTCAGTTAGCACAAATTTGTGTTTTTCAGCTGTAAGAACAATGTTAAGATTCTTTTTTCAGTCAATGTATTTTTCTCCCACAAGTTGGTTTCTATTAAGTATCATTGATAATGGATTAAGCGACATTTTTCTGTGAAATTAATTATTTGTGTATTAATAAAATGAACAATAATCTTTGTATGATGCGTGTATAATGAGTATGTAAATATAGACCCAAAGCTATATTTTCAATTAAAGACCTCAATCCCTTACAACTTTTAGCTTTTAGCACGCCCTCTATAGGAGGTTAATATAGTTGCCGGCAAGTTTGGGACCTTCCCACTCATTTTATTGAGCTAGGTATCTCATGCCACAATAAAAATGAGTATTGATTATTATTTGTCCTATGAATACTTTTGTCGGAATCTTCTATAGGAAGTCCTAAAAAAAATTCATATATAAGTCTAATTTTAAAATGTCCAAAATATATGAGATATTATCTATAGGATAATCACCCCATTAGTCCATTTTAAAATATTCTAATACAAGATCCCATTTCAGTTAATTTAAAATAACAAAGTTTTCCTATAGGGAGACCGATGTAATTCGATACTAGACATACGCATTAACAAAATGGATAATGGAGAAGGCTGCGGGTTTATACATGCTTATAAACTCTCTTCCACTTATTATTTTGAACCGTTAGATTTTCATTTAATAATTAATCAGCCAAATATAAACAATTATAATGGCACTAAATTATTAAACCTTTTTTAAACCACTTTTAATTAATTTAGAGCGACAAAAAATTATGCAATACCAATGCATATAATTTTAGTGCATTGGGTGGTGTTTCATTTAATCTACATGATATATGATAATCATAAATTAATCCATCATCGATAAAGCGATAAAAGGAATAATTAAATGAATTATAATCATTTATGCCCATCCTAAGAATTTAAATTACAACAAGAATTAAAACATTCCATTGGGATACATTCCGGCCCAATTCTTCAATTTCCTTGTAGTCCAATCCATACCATATCCAAAATGTGGATAAATTTAATTTTTGAGTCTCAATCCTTAAAACAAAAGTCCTTACCCAACAAGATTGGCCCAAGACTCAAAGAAAAGCCCAAAAACTTGAAATTAACCTAATTTCAAAAACTATAGCAATTTTACCATGTACCACCTCCACCCCATATCTCTGGCGACGGCACTAGAGGCGGAGACCCCAAAAGAGGCCGTCGCCAAGTGCTTATGGCCCATCCTAAGAATTCCCAAAGCACCGAGATCAATCTTCTAATTAAGACTTCACTCATTGGTACCTCAAAGAACTTGAACTAAGCAATCAAATGTACATTATTCGCTCAGAATTTAGGTGACTTGTTTGATAATTGAATAGAGTCTCATTTTGAGTGGTTACAAATGAGTTATCTACGCGGTTCCGTTCAATGTACATAAAACACATTATTGTTCTTATTCTCAAATTTAGACAAATTTCAATAAGAACAATGTAATTTTATCAACATAAAACGTCCAACTTTATATACTAATTATTAACGACATATTTTGATCACGTTACGAATTGTGTCTCACTATACTCGAACCATCGAGTATACAATTTGTGACATCGTATATAATAATGGAACCTTAGATAATTGTTTCAAATTGTAACACGTGAATAATCGAACGTTAATTAATAATTTCGTTTTACAAAATACTACTCGAAAAAAGGCATCAAACTAACATTTATCAGTGATAAAAAATAACATTTTTCTTTTATAAAGTGTTAGTTTTTATGTAAAAAATTAAGGGGTACTTACAAAAATACCCTTAAAATTAGGGGTGTTTTGAAAAATCATGTGAAAAGTTTTTAGAAAGTAAAAAATACTGTGTAAAATAAAAAAGTGACACACACACACACACACACACACACACTCAAAAAGTGATACAAACTCAAAAAAGTGACAAATACTTAAAAATGTAACAAAACACCAATCAAAACATATGTTTGTTATAAAAAAAAGTGGGAAATTTTTAAAAAGTAACAAGTGATAAAAAGTGAAAAAATTCAAAAAAGTAGTAGGAAAAAAGTTACAAACACACAAAAAAGTAACACAGTGTCACTTTTAAAAGTTTTGTGTCATCTTTCTATTAAATACATACAATTTATCTTTTATTAAAAATGATGTTTGTTACTAAAAAAGTGATAAAAATTTCAA